GCAAATGTGTAATACAATGATGATTCAAGGGATTTTTTTTTCTCGGCGTGCGTGGTGGGCTGAGGGGAAGGGGGGGTGGAATTTGGGTTTTTGAGTAGAGCTGAAAAAAAAATTGGGATTACCGAGAATTAAAATTATACAAATTTTAAGCAATCGGAAAAGTTATGTTATTACAATGAGACACATCAAAGCAAACATTCTTCCCTTTCAAACATCTTTATCTATACAGTCCTCAAACAGTTTTTTTTTAATTAATTCAATTGTTTTAAGCATTTAAATCAGTAATAATAATATATTTAATAGATTTTACACAGCATCAAACACATGAACAATGAACATCAATTGCATATATAATAATCAAAGGGAGAAAATAAAATGGCATAAGACTTAGATTAAAATAAGGTGTGCAAACTAGGTTTCTCTTGACTGCTTAGTTTAGTGTGCTGCGGAATCAAAAGTTCACATTGTAGCCACCCATGGACAGAAATAGAAACGACCGTGGGAGAAGTGTCTTCGTAATACACATACTGATCTATCGTTCCAAAACTTTTCATGACATAAAATTGACCCTTGGCAATGAGGCACGCTACCTTGAAATATCCGCCAGTCCGGATGAGTGGGGGGGGGGGGGGGAGTGGGGGAAGTGTGTGTGGGGGGGGGGGAGGGGTTTGAGGTTGTATCTTTTTTTTTTTTTTTTTTTTTTTTTTTTTATAGAAAGAATATGAGTTTCAGAGAATCGAGCCAGCGAACAAATAAAATAAAAGTCCTATTTTTGAAAATCGCGAATTCTACTAAAGCAAAGGTTTTCGCATTGTTTAACCTGCTCTGGTACACCCCACTGCACTATGACCGACTTGATGTTTAAATGCATCTCACGAACAATTTTTTATGTTATTATTTTATTTTTTATAGTTTACCTGGAATAAAGTAACGACGGAGTGCACCGACTTAACCTTCTTTTGTCAACAAAAATTAGAACGTTATCTCCCTTTGGGCATGACCTTTTTAACTCCCTGTTTTCATTTTAAACAAAAGCGCAACTTTTCTCTTATTGGTTTAGCTGCCTCTGTAAAAAAAATTGCTCGATCTAAAATACACATAAATGTCGCATGCTGTGTCTCTTTGACGTCAACATTTTCTGTTCATGTATTAAAATTATTGCCAATATAATCTTCAATACATTGACGTTAAAATTATAGTTGCCGAAGCCCATCCTCTTTCAATTATTAACTAATGGCTTCTAAAATGGATCATTACATGAGTTTACTTAACGAATATTTATTTTAGATGATATGATTATGTGACCCTTAAAAGACTTTTGTTTTGAAATCACCGTCTAGGTCAGCGCGTAGTTTGGGAATTCCCGTTGCTCTAAAAATAAAAGATGGGCAAACAGTAGAAACCCATGGACTGTTTTATATAAACAGGCGGACATGTAACTTTAACTGACAATATAACTAACTGATAATATAAATGACGTCTATGCAGGACTTGTCGTATAATTTAAGTGTCCTGGTTGTATTATATTCTCGTTGACACTGCGGGAAGTTGTAATCTAAACTGTGACTGGCATAAAAACAAGCAGACCTAATATGGTGTTAATTGAGACCAGTGGCGTAGCCAGGATCGTCTCAAGGGGGGGGGGGGGGGGGGTTCCAATTTTTACCCGGGGACAAACTTTCGATTTGCAGCCCCCCCCCCCCTCAAACTTTCGATTTGCACCCCCCTCATACTTTATATATATATATACCGAGGGGTCTACGCCACTGATTGAGACGACACTAGTTCATATTGAAGAAATGTCATAAGGATAATATTAAACACAGTAGAGCAGAGAATTAGAAGATAAACAGAATAGGTTAGGGGAAGGAGAATTAATTTCAAGAATTTTATAAGAGTAGTTGTTTGAATTATTTGAGTTTTGTTGTTGTTGTTTTAATTCAGTGGCGTCACTAGGTCAGGTGCGACTCGGTGCGATAGCCCAGGCTGCAACCCCCTCCGCCTAGCCACTGTATATGAGGCCATCCCTTCAACCTAGCCACTGTATATGATGCCATCCCCTCCGCCTAGCCACTGTATGTGATGTATTACATCTACTGGCAGTTTGATGCAGTAGCGTAGCGAGGGGGGGGGCGGGGGGGACATATGTCCCCGGGCGCCGACCTTAGGGGGCGCCAAAATGGGTTGGAAAAATAAATAGAAAATAGAGGGGGGTGCAAATCGAAAGTTTGTCCCCGGGCGCCGGGAAGGGTCGCTACGCCTCTGGTTTGATGTAACATCATGCCCCATTATTTCAAATTATGCTTAATAAAGCATATAACTCTAAAATATTATTAATTTAGCTGGGAATAACATACTGTCATTAGAAGATATCACACTGCATTCCGCAACTTACTCTCTAAGAATTCTTGTTACCTTTCTTCGTTCTCTAACAATCCTTGTTTTTATAAAGTCAATAAAAGCATAGGTGTCATTAATACAGAACACTGATTAGTCACGATCAATTAACACTCTAAATTAACATACATTTTCAAAGTGTATATAAATCAAACGGGACGGCGTGGCCTAGCAGTAGAGCACTAGACTGTAACCTGAAAGTGTCGAGTTCAAATCTGGGTTCTAGTTAGTAGAACGTCCCTGAGTCCATCCAGCTCTGATGAGTACCTATGTCACGTTAGGGAAGCGTCAGGTTCAAAATGTGAACTTCAATTTTTTACAAAATCAAACTTTTGAGGTGATGATGCATAACCCAAGTACATAAAGCAAATATCTTCAGAAACATATACAGATTAAAATGTTTCTACTTGACATTGGTCATCCATGACCTATTGACCTATGACGCCCTTGCCACCATGACCTTGACCTATGGCGCACTCGCCATCATGGCCGACTCCTGTGCTCAGTGGTGGTGAGATCATAGACCGGACCACGCGCGAGACTTAACGGCACGGGACCCGATGCTATCCCATAATCCCCCGGATTTCACACGCCCGTCGCACTGGTCCGGGAGACATTCACAACATTGAGCTTGTCTCCCCCTCCCATCAGCGCTCCCCCCCCCCACCTTCCTTTCCCCCCCCCCCCCCCCCCCCCCCCGGGTTAAAGACAAGACGCAATCAAAAGAAATATTGCTCTTGTCGGAGCTGATGCCTGATCGGGGTGTTGGCCGGTGATCGATCGCTCTTGTGGCTTCTAGCTAACATTGGGCTCTTAAAGCCTGGCCAGCGGTCGGGGGGAGATGAAAGAGGTAGGGGGGTGGGGTGGGGGGGGGGGGGGGTAGTGTCGTGCTGAAAGCTGTGGGAGAGGGGGGTTACTGTTTTTTTAAACGTACAACTTCGCGTCTGTCTGTAGTAAATAAAAAAAGAAATTAATATTGTTTTTAATATGGTTAATGTTAGCGTTAGCTGTGAAATAAGAAAAGAAATTAATATTGTTTTTAATATGGTTAATGTTAGCGTTAGCTGTGATATATCCATAATACATTGTAGCGCATATAATTTGTACTTTAAAGAAATTTTCAAAGATATATAATTAATAGTGAACTTATTTTAAATATTTTGTTAAAACAACAATGCCATTCGTAAGCCGAAGATACCTCAGAAAATAATAGGCAGACAGGTCAAAATTTTACTTAATAATTCGGCACGGTTTGTAATAACCATCAGAATAATTCATACATAGTCCTTGTTAGAAAATAATTCAAAAGATGTATGTTATTGGCATTTTTTAAATAAGAATTTGAATCTTAAAAAATTAAGCAAAATAATTTATTTATTTTTGTGTTACTTTCTTTGTGTAAATCACACACTAGAGTCACGATTGAACCGTTTCAAAATGTGTACATATAACATAAGATTGGCAATGTATAATGTTTCCAGACGGAGTTTCTTCCATTTCGTTCTTAGGTTCTGTTAAAGTTTCAAAACATTCGAAATAGCTCAAAATATCAATGACACATGCGTCAGTCTTGTCAGGCATGAAACTATAAGTGGCTAAATTTTGTTTTGAATTTTCTATCTGTTGCTGTCTGTCGTTCCATTAGGTAACTTCCGAAATTGTTCAATACATCTGAAGAAAAATGTGCACTGCCGTCTGTTCGGAATATATTCATACTTTGTTTTGGACTTATTAATCGACATTTTGTAGAGATAAAATATTTGTTGTCATAGATCTATCACAAGTACTATAGCACAGCTGTGGTTCAGTTAACTACTTTTTGTATACATTCACTATGGTCTTGGAGTCTGCATTAACAACACTATGTAGTGTAACCTTTGTTTGGATTTAGTTTCGGACATTCAATGTTTCAGAATTGAGTAAAATTTTCGCAGAGATTCAGTGAAAATATCGTGACTGAAATTATTAAGGAAATTAGTTGTTCCCTATTAAGACTGAAATTATTAAGAAAATTAGTTGTTCCCTATTAAGACTAAAATTATTAAGGAAATTAGTTGTTCCCTATTAAGACTGAATTTGGCATACATTATGGTGATGAGAATACATAAATTTACATCAATTGTGGACAATAGAATAGATTTCTAGAAGTGGAATTATTTGTTTACCAAATAGCTGTGACTGTAGGTAGTTAATTTACCCAATGTCACATTACGCAAAAAAATGCAGACGAATCACAAAACTCATGGATGTATATTTGATTTCTTTAACGAATTAGTTTTTTAAACAAAATATTTTATTAATTAACTATTTTAAAATGATATGTGTGTTTTTATATTTTACAATAAATATAACAGTGTTTTTTTTTCTTTTTATCTTAAATATTGGCTGTTAAATTAATATTTACGCCAAAAAAAGCTTAACTGTAGCAATGCTTTCAACATAGAACTAGTTAATGTTGAGATGTTTCTTGCGGGTTCTGAAAATAGTAATCCAAAACTTATGACACAGACTTATTTAATGTTTCATTGTCTCTTGTAGGCTCTAGACAGAGTGATCCAAAACTTATGCCACCCACCTATGTAATGTCGCCTTTTCTCTTGCAGGCTCTGGACAGATCCAACTCTGGCAGTTCCTTCTGGAGCTTCTCTCCGACTCGGCCAACGCCGCCTGCATCACGTGGGAGGGCACCAACGGCGAGTTCAAGCTGGTGGACCCTGACGAGGTGGCCAGGAGGTGGGGGGAGAGAAAATCTAAGCCCAACATGAACTACGACAAGCTGAGCCGGGCGCTCAGGTACTACTACGACAAGAACATCATGACCAAGGTCCACGGCAAGAGATACGCCTACAAGTTCGACTTCGCCGGACTGGCCCAGGCTATGCAGCCTTCAACGGCCGACCCGTCGGCATACAAGTACCAGCAAGACTTTCTCATGTCGTCTTACCAGTACCATCACCACCACCATCACCATCCGCACAACCAGAAACTCAACTACCTGAACCCACATTCCCCCATCTCCAACTCCGCGCCGCCCAGTCTATTCCCGCCCCACACGGGCTACTGGCCGGGCAGTCCCGGGTCCAACCTGTACCACAACCACCCCATGCCCACACACCACGGCCACATGGCGCCGCCCCTGGGGCCGTACTACCACTACGACCGGTGGGAGGCTTGACAAAGAGCTGCCACCACCAGCCCGGCCGCCTCGTCGAGAAACTTCTAGTCTCTCTTCCCTTTGCGGGATAACACTATCAAAATACCAAAACTCAACCTTTATCGAGAGGAAACATTCGCACAATTACCGCAACAATCTTTGTGTTGCCAAGACTTTCAGATTTCGCAACACTGGTACTTTACGGTGAAAACCAAATAGCCAAATATTCACGAAGACCTACACGTATGTATTACATGTACCGTAACATGAAATGTTATAACAGGTAACAATAGTTGTGTTTGCAGGCTACTTATGTAATAGCTGAAAACTAACTAGACTGAAAATACAAGCTGCATATGGAAAGTGACAAACTTAATATATTAATATATTATTAGACTGAATATATATATATATATATATATATATATATATATATATATATATATATATATATATATATATATATATATATATATATATATATATATATGTATGTATGTATGTATATATATATATATATATATATATATAAAGTGAGGGTATTTTATGACGTATGTATATATATTATGAAGATGATAGCTACTAAACTAAGGTATCCTGAGACGGAAAGTTCCAAAGGCTTTGGGTGACCAATATAAATAAAGAAAAAGCTTTCCTTCACCCAACGCAGTGAAGCAAATATCATAGAAGTTGTCCAGCTACGTTGACTAGAGACAATGTTCTGGAACATGTCCTTGTGCTTTAGCTTCAAACAAGTGCTGAAGCAATGTATTGGAACACTGCCGTAGAACATCCTCTTGGAATAAGCTCTAGAGCTTTGTCTTTAAACTTGTCAGATATACAGTGACTCGGAACATTGCCATGGAACAAAGTCTCGGAACGTTGTTCTTGAAAATTGTGCTACAACAAAAAACGCTCCAAGAAAAAGGTCCCGGAACAAATATTGTTTCTTCCGTTTTGATGTGCCTGTACTCAGATGGTTCAAACAACATTTTTACTTTCTCGTATATACGAAGTATAGAGAAAGTATTGTAATCGTGCAAAAAAAAAAAATCGAGATTTTTACAAATCTCGACGTTTTACACCTCACTGACACGGAAAAACATAATTTTGCAATCTTGTCCGTATGTCTGTGTGTGTGTGTGTCTGTGTGTCTGTCCGTGTGTAAACACGATTACTTGAGTACCGTTACAGCTAGGTTGATGAAATTTCATATATAAGTATTATATCAAAATCGTAGATCCGTATCAACTTTTGAGCGATTTCCGACAACCGGAAGTGGTACTTTTTCTACTTTGAATTTTTCAAAAGCCTATAACTTGAGTACTTTTTCAGATAGATAAATGAAATTTCATATGTAAGTAAAAGATCTAATTCTCTACCTTCTGTTAAATTTTGAGTAATTTCCGGCGACCGGAAGTAGTAATTTACGCTACTTCCGATTTCTCAAAAAACTAATGTAAATTTATTAAGTACTAATACTATTGCGCACTATTATACACACCTTTATTAGGCGTTCGCTTGGTGCGCAATTGTTTTTTACTGAGATTCTATTTAATTTTTAAAAGTTTCAGTATTTAAAATGGATTCAAAATCATAACTATATCCCCAGTTACCATCCCCTGTTGTTTTATATAAGAATATTCGAGAAAGTTTAGGGGAGATCACTACCGGTTTATTTTTATTCACATTGTTACTTTGTGTCGGACTAAATATTTTGATTCTATTTGATATTTGACATAAGTCACCCGGTTAAAGAGAGAAGATTTTATGATAATTAGATTAAGTGTTCGTTAGGGAGAACGAATGTTTCTGCCTACCTAAGGGTTACAGTTCTAATAAACATCCAAAGTATGTCAATATGGTTATCAAAGTAAGAGTCATCACAAAGCCTCATATGACCTTTTGTTTAATTAATTTAGCTACTGTTATATTCCATTTGTTATTATTTTGAAATTATATTTATGACGTTATATATATATATAATATATATATATATATATATATATATATATATATATATATATATATATATATATATATATATATATATACATACATTTTAATGTAGTCATCTGCTCAATATATAAAGAAGTTGAAAATTTAACATTTTATAGATAAGTTTATTAAATTGCCAAATAATTTTTAAAACTTTAAAACAAGTCTAATCTATTCTGTTGTATCATTAGTGTGTTTATTCATGACTAATTTTCCTATCTGAAAACATACAAAAGAAAAAAAAAACTTCCGTAATACTAATAATACACGCATGAAGTTTTTAAAATGAGTTATTTAGCATAAGAATAGTTGATTGCTGGATTACAACATTACTGTAAAGTCACGGAATGATACTTCAAAGATAGCTTCATTAGTAGTTTATTTACCTTTAATTAAAATACAACAATTTGAGGTTTAAATCAAAAAAGTTTATTTCCTTACCACGATAATAAAACAATAAAACTCATTTTCTTGACAATACCTTATGAAAAACTAAGATAATATAGTGATGTAGTGTCTTAATAGATGTAAAACTGGTGTTTGGTTAGTCAAATTGCTTGCGTTCTTATCTCCACTTTGAGGTACTCAAAAACTTATATTATTTTTTTTTTACTTTATGTACAAGTATGTATTTAATTGTAAATGGAGTATTTATTTATTTATTTTCAATTTACAAAGAATATTTAACCATACGTGAAGTGTGATTTATCACAATAAACGTCAAATCAACCAACTGGTTTAAGTTGGGAACTTAACAGAGCAATTCTAGTCAATTTTCTTGATATACTTTGTACAACCCAACTTAGCTATTTACTAAAGAGCAAAGCTACCTGGGCCCTTCCATTAGTGTCGTGTTATTTCAAAATCTCAGCTTCGGCTGTTTCAAGTTGTCTGTGGGAAAAGTTCGGAAAATATTTGTCTTGTTATATGTTTACGGTAAAGACACATTTCCCTTACAACATAAGAATAGGCTGTCTAATGACCATAATTTGAAGTGGTTTGTAATGGTTTAGGTTAATGAAGTATTAATTGTTTGCTATAGGGACCCACTTAATGGGTAGTGAGAAATGGAAAGGACTGACATGCTTAGAAAAATGTATTAGGGGCTATACAGTGAGTTTTGCAGCCGTCAAACTAATGAAGAAAATCAATTAGAAAAGTCAGACTGTATGGTTTATTTACAGAGTTTCTTCCAGGCATCTCTGCGCTGACCACCCCCCCCCCCCCCACCCACGGAACGAAATGGAAATTATATAGAAAACATATACTTTTATCAGTGTCCGCCTCCCCCCCCCCCCTCCTTTCAAAAATTTAGTCCCCCCCCCCCCCACCCAGAAAATAAAGTGCCCCCTACCCCGAGAAAAAAGACTGGAAGAGACACCGTTTATTAAGACAGTGTAGCTGCAATACTAGATGGTGAGAAATGTCAGTGGAACTGTGCTAATTTAGATTGATTTTAAGACACTAAAAATGGGGTTTTATAATGGGATTAATAATTAGGTAGATGATTGGCTAGATATTCATAGCAAATTATATTTATGTTAGACAATGTATGGGCGGACCTACTAGTCTGCATGCTACTAAGTTGCTTAAAATATATAGTCGGTATGCTGCTAAGTTGCTTGAAATGTATAATTGTATTTCAAGGTATTCGATAGGGACCGTATATTAAACGTGCCCATTACTTTTTGTCTCCTGTGTATTTTGCTGCCTACGTGTATGCGTGCAGACATACTTATTCTGAAGTGTATGGGTTTTGAGTGAGTGTATATGTGGACTGTATGTGTGTTTGTGTGGGTCAATATTTGAACTGTATATGTACATGGTGTGTGTGTGTGTTTATGTACATAAGCTGTGTATACAAAATCGCATATACTCAGTAGCCCATCCTGCTTTATGTAAATTAATACTGTTGCTCACAATAATTAATTTTACTTCCTCATTTACCTGTGTATCGTCTTGCGTAATTTGTTTTTTACATAACGTGTCTTTTACATCATGTACATAATGTAAAAATTCTTTAAATCATGTCGATGAAAATATTTATATTCAAATGAAAATGAAAATAAACATATTATCTATCTAATGTTTGATTCAATTACTTGTTATTTCACTATTAGTGCTTGGTTTATTCATTCATTCTCAGGGGTCTCCAAACTACGGCCCGCGGGCCGCATGCGGCCCGCGAGGTCATTTTATCCGGCCCGCGACGATCTTTTTGTCCACTGAATAAATGTTTGTTGGAGGTGGCTGAGGAGCTTTGCACAGAAAATTCAAAACAATTTGAAAATGTAGCTTTGTGTGCAAATACAATTACTCGTCGTGTTGCAGACATTGGTGAAAACATAGTGACTCTAATAGCGAAAAATTCAAGGAAGTTCAGCCTTTTTTCAATTGCAATGGATGAGTCGCTGGGCAGCTGTTCCACCTCTCAACTTCGTGTGTTCATTAGAGGTGTGGGTGAAAACCTGAACTTAACACAAGAGCTGGCTTCCCTACATATAATGTATGATACTGTTACCGAAGAGGATATTCAGAGACAAACACAAAAACGCAAGATTTACCATATTTCACATCAGTAAGATTGCTAATTTTGTGAGCAAATTCTGAGCAGAGTATCTAAGAAAAGAAATAGGTCACTTCCTGATAGTAAAGGCAAGTCACATCCATTTTTGTCTGATGAAGAGTGGGTATAGAAATTGGCCTCTACTGCAGACATAACTAGTCGTTTAAATTTTCTGAACCTAAAACGGCAACAGAGTGAAATCTAGTTTCTGATCTATACACCCACATAAAGGCCTTTAGATACAAACTTGTCATGTTTTTGGAACAAGTAAAGGCTAACAACTTGATACACTTTCAGCAGTGTAAGGTCTTTACGGCTGAAACAACCACTGAGTTCCCCACGTCATTTACATACGAGATCATTAAAGACATCCAGCTGCAGTTTCAGTAGCAGTTTTCTGACTTGGATTCATAGGCAGAAGAAGTTAGACTGTTTCAAAACCTATTTGAAGCAAATGTGGCCAGTTGCAAAGACGAACTGCAGCTGGAGGTAATTGAATTGCAAGAAAATGACACGATCAAAGAAGGGCGGATGGGTTTTCATACGTTTTCGCACAAGGAAGACTTTCCTAACATTAAAACTTTTGCATCAAAGTACCTTTCAAATTTTCGAACAACATACCTGTGTGAACAAACATTTTCAAGCATGAAATACGTGAAGAACAATTTGAGAGCAAACGTGGACCTCGGGTGAGGGGGGTGGGGGGTGGACACTTGAAATTTGTATATATTTCT